AACAAAGGTGAAAGGACTTATCCACGGTCATACAGCTAATAAGCATCTGAAGCCAGATTTGAATTTAAGTTTTCTTGCCTCTAAACCCAGTTCTCTACCTACTGTGCCACCTAGCTGCCATCTAGCCTATGTACTGGGCTACATTAATCCCTGGAGTTTCCAGCCTGAAATGGGAGTCCCATATTACACTCTGCTTTGAACACTATCTATAGGAGAGGATTTAGCAAGTTGTCATTTGTCTAGAGGAGGTTTGCTAGGTTGGTTGGAAGACTGAAAAAAATGGCCTCTAAGGAGCTGTTGAAGGAAATGAGGTTGTTTAGCTTGGAGAATAGAATATTTAGCTGTTTTCAAATATTGGGATCTTGTCAAATGGAAGAGAGATTACACTTATTTTGTATAATTACAGTGGGCTGAACTGACTAATGGCTGGCAGAGATATACATTGGCTTAACATAAGGAAAATATCTAAAAATCAGAATGCCATTGGCTGCCTCTTTAAGCAGTGAGCTCTCCATCACTGGAGCTATACAAGAAGAATATTAATGACATCTTGTCAGAACATAGTTGGGGTGCTTCTGCACTGGTTAGGACGTTTAGTCAATGACCCATAAAATACCTGTGACTCAATAACCACTGTGCTTCAACTAATTGAGCTAAGTAGTCACAAGGTCCAGCAATAAGATGACTCTACTCAGGCTTGGCAACCTTATGTCTGGGGGCCAATTTTTAATGCGAAAGGATTGAAGTGAGAAGCCTAGGTCTCAGTGTGGTGCCTTCCCTGCTTTCTGTGACAGGTGATTGCAAACTGTTTACTGTTAGAGTGGGTTCACACTACTCAGGATGGCAATACAACTGGGGCAGATCTCTTTTCCACACCATAATTAGCACCAGTGAAATCAAGATGGATGAAAAACACCCTTCATTTATCCCTGGAACAGATTCCAACGTCATGAGTAGGTGTTGAAGGTGGGGACTGGAGGGGCAGTCATAAAGAGGAGGAGGGAGAGAAGACAAAATGCATTCCTTTAGCATGTTCTTGCTTGGCAAATGGGAAAAGGAACATATTCGAAACAGTGGCATGGCCCCACGGCCCCATGGCCCCCCATAAGCTGTGCTGAACAAGGAAGCATGGAAATGGTCCTGTGCTTTAAAGAGATTGAATTTAACCAACATTAATCAAAAGGGTGCTCTGCTAGGCACTGACTTTACAAGGCACGATTCCTACCCTCAAGGAATTTGAAGTATTCTCAAGGGAGATAAGACAGGGACATCAAGTAAGTATGTCCAGCCCTGACCTCTCTCCTCATATCCACAGTCACATCTATAAGACATCTCTATATGGATGTCTCAATGGTATAGAATCATTGTATCCAAAACTAAGCTAGTTTATCTTTTCCTTCTCCTATTCCATCTTCTGACTTCATGATTTCTGTCAGTGGCACCCATCATTCATCTGATCTCTTATCTTTGTCATCCTGAAGTTATCTTTGACTGCTCTCTCTCCCTCCTGAGAGTGAATCAGTCACCACAAAATGACCAATTCATCTAGATATTCTGTTTATCTTCTGTATTTCTACCACCATCATTCTAATATAGAATCTTGTCACCAATAGCCTATTGCAGTAGCCTCCTTGATGGAGACAACATGTACATAACTATAACTACATATGCATATATGTATAGTTTATATATATATATACATATACATATATTTTTCATACATGTATATATAGAGAGGAAGACAAATGAGAGAGAGAGAGAGAGAGAGAGAGAGAGAGAGAGAGAGAGAGAGAGAGAGAGAGAGAGAGAGGAGAGAGAGAGAGAGAAAATGAAAGGTAATCTGAGAGGTAAAAGCTTTAGCATCGGGGGTACCATCAAAAGCCTCCTGCAAAAGGTAGGCTTTAAACTGAATCTTGAAGGAAGCCAACAAACTAAGAGGTAGAAATGATGGAATAGAACATTCCAGTGCAAATGCGTGCAGATGGGAAGTGTAGTGTCATGTTTGAGGAACTGCAATTAGGCTGGTGGAACTGTATTGTAGATTATACGGAGGGTTCTAAGGTGTAAGAAGACTGGAAATGCAGAAAGGGGACAAGTTAAAAAGAGCTTGGATGACAGAGCTTATGTTTGGTTCTGGAGATAATAATTAGCCACTGGAGCTCATTGAGCCTAGGTAACCGGAAATACGATAATGCCCTTGACAGTAATAGGGAAATTTGGAGGAGGGGAGAGTTTTTGGGAAAAGATAATGGGTTCTGTTTCAGACATGTTGAGTTTGACATAGGATGCTAATGTAGCTGGACTGTAGTGTGTGTATGGGGAAGGAGGCATGGTATAAGAAGATTAAAAAGTGCGGGGAATATAATGAAGAACTTGAGCTTCCTTCTAATACCTTCTCTCTGAGATTACATTCTCAGAAGACTTAGATTTCTTACATCTTCAAAAACTTGGTGGGCATGTCCGGCTGGATGCCCTGGCAGCACCTCTGTCTAAAGGTCTTTAGACAGTCTTAAAACTGATCTCACTCCTCTGATTTTCCTTCTAAAAATCTAATGGCCTTTTTTCAATCCTAGTAAGTGCCAGAGGATGAATGTAAGTTGCAGAGGACTGACATTTACACTATAAAGGTACCTCATTATTTACACATTATACACATTGTATTATATACATATTATATTATACTATATGTTGTCTTCCCCATTAGATGTGAGCTTCTTGAGGGCAGATGCCATATTTCTGGCTTTCTTTGTATCCTCACTGCTTGGGAAACGTCTGGCACATGGTTAATGTTTGATAAATATATGTTGACCAGCTAACTGAATGACTTCTCTGTTCCTGAGGATGTCACCACCATCCTTCCAGTGATAGAGGCTTGAAACTTTGGATTCATCTTTAGTTGTTCTCTGTTCCTAACAATCTCTGTCCCCTAACATTCAGGTTCCAAATAATTTCATTATTTCCTCGTCAATATATTTCCCATCTATCCATTGTTTATTAGCAATAATTATCATGATAATAATAATGATTTATGTAGTGCATTAACATCTGTAAATCATTCTTATCTTATTTAATCTTCACAATAATCTTGTGAAACAGGTGATACAGAGATGAGGAGGAATTTGAGGCTCATAAAGTTTAAGTCATTACAACCAGCCTAGTTCAGACCCTTATCTCTTTTCACTTAAACTATTGTTAACAGTGCCTTAACTGGTTCCCTATTTCCAATATAACACTCACACTATTGTGCAAGTAACTTCCCTATGGCATGAGTCTGATCATATGACTGTTGTTCAATTGGTTGAACTATATGACTTCTGAGATCCTTCTAATTCTGGAATTTTATGAGTCTACTTTACAGCCTCCAACAGCTTCCCATTTCCTTTCCAAAAAAGTATAAATTTGTTTACCTGACGTTTATGGCCCTCCATAATTCAGCTTGGGCCTACCTTTTCAATACTTCTCTTTTTTATATACTTCACATTTTTGCCAAATTGGTCTTCTTCCTGTCCTTGATGCTATTTCTGCCGTTGTGTGCAACTTTATCCATGTTTAGAATGTACTCAGGTCCATTTTCCCGCCTGTTGAAATTTCTTTCTTTTTTCAAGTTGTTCAGTCATTTCAATTGTGTCCAACTCTTCATGACACCATTTGGGGTTTTCTTGGGAAACATATTGGGGTGGGTCACCATTTCCTTCTCCAGTTCATTTTGCAGATGAGGAACTGAGGCAAACAGGGTCAAGTGACTTGCACAGGGTCACACAGCTAGCTAGTGTCCAAGGCCAGATTTGAATTCAGGAAGATGTCATCTTGACTTCAGGCCCAGCAGTCTATCCACTGTGCCACCTAGATGCCCCAAAGCTGCTTTTTTCTGGACTAAACTCAAATGCCTGCTCCTTAATAGAGTCTTCTCTGACCTCTCCAGCTGAAAATGTTCTCTCTTTCCTTATAATTTTGCTTACATCTTTCCTTTGTATGGTACTTACCCTTCCTTTGTAGCAAAGTTTACTTATACATGTCTACATATCCTATCAGACTGGTTGTAAGATTCTTGAGAGTAGATTCTGGGTTTTGTGTATCTTAGGACAATATAAGTCAGGAAGTTGCTGCGACTATCAGTTAAAGAACAGGTGTCTAGCTGTATCAACAGAGGGAATTTCCTGAGTTGCCTATTCCAATAACATCACAGGTTCAGGGAAAAATGCCAAGAATTTGTGATTTCATTGTTTTGTCAACTTCATTTAACAATGGGAGCCAAAAATCCAGCTGTTTCTCAGTAGATAAGTCAGAGGGATTTGCCTGGTCCCAAGTCTAGTAAATGTCAGAAGCAAGATTTGAACTAAGTTCTTCCTGATTTCAACTCTAGCCCTCTCTCAACTAGTTCACAGGGCCTCTCAGTCACTTTAAAAATGTTGCTGAATTCAAATGAAGTCCTTCATCTTTGGCAATCAGCTATTACCTTCCAAAGTAGCCTTACAGAATCTGGCTCTTAGCCTTCAGATGCCCAAATGAATGAGATACATTTGATCTCATGGAGAAAATGATTAAGATTCACTATTTGTGAGAAAGGAGGAGGAAAATAAAATCTTCTGGGGACCACACATTTGTTTGAATATTTGGGACATATTAATAAAATTCAAGATGCTGCTGAGAAAATGGTCCAATAAATAAGACTTTAGAGCTATATAGGAATTTAGATAATCTGGGCTGAGCACTTCATTTCATAGAGGAGGGTCAAGATAACATCGAACCCCCAGCTCTATCATGCCATGCTCTATACGCCCCATGTATGTATTACCATGTATGTATTAACACAATGTGATTTACTTAACTGATGTTAAAGTGATCTAAGGTTAAGATGATTTGATTAGAGTGGAGGGAGAGTATTGTGTGAGAGAGAGTGCCCATTTCTCAAAGCCTAAAAAAAAGTAAAAAAGACTAAATACTACGTAGCAATAAGTGAACAGAATACCAGTCACCTGCAGGACCAGAGTTCAAATTACCTGATGGTCTTGATCATACTGAGCCCCATTTCAACGCAGCAGTGGGCATGGTCCTGACGAGGTTCAGGGAGTCCAGACACACAATAGTAGCAGTCTCCCAAGATCTTAATCCGAAGACAGTGATGCTCCTGATTTGATATCATAAGAAAGAAGAGAAATTGATTAGCAAAGGGGTTAAAATCTTAGAATATCCTTAGGGAATGATTGAGGATAAGGTAGTTGAGAAAGAAGATTGTAGTCTTTAATTATAGGGTGGCATTGGGCTTACTCTTCCTAACTTGTCAGTGAAACCGGGGCCAATGACTTTGTTTGCCTTTGCTATAGCTTCCTTGTCAGTCCTGGAAGAATCAAACGAGTGAATGTCCAATACAGATTGGTCATTATACTAACATGTCTATAAATTAATTAATTGATGTAGGGAGTTTTCAGACCTATTGAAGTTCAGATAACTGTGTCTCAGAGAAGTTAAATGACTGTGCCCAGGGTCACACAGATACTAAGAGACTGACACAGGGTTGAATTCCAGTATCTCATTCATTTTTCCAATGGTTCCCAAACTTTTTGGTCTCAGGATCCCTTTACATTCTTAAAAGTTGTGGAGGACCCCATATTTTTATGTGGGTTATATCTGTTGATAGAAATTATATTAGATGAGGCAGCTAGGTATCTCAGTGAATAAAGTGCTAGGTCTGGTATTAGAAAGACTTGAGTTCAAATATGACCTCAGTCACTCACTGGCAAACCACTCTAGTATCTTTGCCAAGAAAACTCCATGGACAGTATGATCTATGGGGTCAATCACAAACAGTCTGACATGACCAGACAACAATATTAGAAATAAAAATTGATAAATTTTAAAATATTGATTTATTTCAAAATAATAATAAATGAACTATATGTTTTACATATCTTCATGAAAAAATATATTTTCCAAAGCAAAAAAAAAATGGTGAGAAGAATAGCGCTGTTTTACCTATTTTTGCAAATATCTTTAATGTCTGGCTTATTAGAAGATGATCTAATTCTCATATCTACTTTTATATTCAATCTGTTGTAACATGTTATTTTGATTGAAGAAAATCTGGCCTCACACAAATATGTAGTTGGAAAAGGGAAGAGTATCTTAATACACAAATAATATCTTACTGTTATTTAAAAATAGTTTTGAACTTGAGAACCCCTTGAAAGTCTTGGGACCCTTAGGGGTTCATAGACTGTACTTTGAGAACCATTGCACTAGTCCATACTCAGTTCTTAAAGAAAGGGATTCCCTAATCGGAAAACATTTAGAAAAATCAGTGATCACTTACTAAGTTCAATAATGTAGCACACAGGTTATAAAAACAATTCCCTTAATTTTTTATTTTAAAAATGCTTTTTTTTTTTTGTCTACTGCACCATACCCAGAGAACCTTTCTTTCTAAGAAGGAATAATAATGAGAACAAAATCAAATCAGTAAAACTAACCGACACATAAAGTCTGACAGTGAATGTGGTGTTATGCAATGTTCCACGTCCACAGTACTCTACCTCCACAACATAGGAAAGAAGCTATGTTTTCCCATTTCTTGGGGACCAAGCTTGGTCAGTATAGTTGCGCTGCATTAGTTTGATATTTTTATTTACATTGTTGCAGTCTTCAAAGTATATTGTTTTCCTGGTTCTGATTATACACAACCAGTTCATAATTTTTTTTCTATATTTCACTGAATTAATCACCTCTGTTGTTACTTGCAACACTAAAATAGTCTACATTCATGTACCAAAATTCATTTAGCTATTCCCAGAATGATGGGCATCAACATAATTTTCAGTTCTCTACTACCACAAAAAAAGGGTTGCTAGGAATTTGCTGGTGTAGATGAGCTCTTTTTTCCCCCCTAACCTCTTTGGGCTTTATGTCTAGCAGTGGGATATCTGAGTCAAGGGGTATGGACATTTTGTGGTCCTATATCATCCCTAGAGGTATACCCCACTTAATGCAATAGAAGACACTCTTCTGGATATTGATTATTTTTCTTAATGAATAGGTTCAGATAAGGGGTTTCCTGTAAGTTCAAAGGATACGGAAATCAAAATAGGATTTGAGGAGGGCCATGGACATAGCTTAATAATGGGATTATGAATGGTTGGGAGTAGACCCTGTGTACTAGTGGGCACCTGAGGGCTCACCTGTCTTTAGCAGAATGCAGCTTAGTCAAAGTCGAAGGCTTTATACAAGGGCACCAAACAGTATTGTGTGTGTGTGTGTGTGTGTGTGTGTGTGTGTGTGTGTGTGTGTGTGTTGAGTGTATGTTTTACTGTTGCTACCAACAATCCACTATTAGGCAGAATAGCAGATTCTCCCTCAATACCTCTCACCCCCAGGGAAATAGCTACTAGGTTGGCCATAATATGATCCTTTATAGTTCAAAGAATCATAATTTTTGAGGTGGAAAGGACTTTAGTGGTTATCTAGGTTACTAAACCCCTTGTATTAAGCACACTCTTGTGAGGTAGATATTATGGATATGATTATTCCCTTTTACAGATAAGGAAGCCAAAGCAAAGAGAAAGGAAGTGAATTATTCAAGGGCAGTCACCTAAGTAAGTGCCAGTTAGGGTCTGACCCCAAGTCCTTTGGGGCCAGATCTAATGCTCTTGCCACTATACCACAGGTGATCTAGCAGCATTGAGATCTGGTCATTCCCCTTCTGACTTACTGCCACATCCATGCACACATGAGGTTTATCTAGAGTCGGGCAATTGGGCTTTGTTCTAGGACAGTAATTTAGTACTACTTTATTGGGTAGAATCAATTACCATATGATGAGCAAGATTATTCCTTCCCTCACCCTAAGATATCCATAATCCTGTTCCTCAAGTTATCCCCAACATGGGATCCAGTGGAAAAAGCACTGGGTCTAGAGTTAGAGGACCAGGTTTAAATTCTGCTTCTTCCTATCTGTGTGACCTTAGACATCAGTCTAAGGATCTCAACTCCTCATCCATAAAATAAGTGGTTGGGGGTTACTATTAAGTCCTAGTTCTAAATCTATGAACCTATAACCCTACTCTCTGACCTGGTAGCTGCCTCACAGTGTCCTGGGTCTTTACCTTTGGGAATGTCTGGGCTTTCTCCCTGAGGTCTTTTTCCCTCTTTCCCTCTAACAACTACTTTGTAAAAAGTGCTCTTTTGGACAAAATGTCAAGCTACAGTTCTGTGCATATATTAGTATATACTTATACATATATATGCATATATATATATATACATATATATATATATATATATATATATATATACTTTGTATATACAAATGCTATTATGCTTAAAAGGGACAATGAATCAATGATATAAGCCTTTTAGTATAAGGTGTAAAAATGTGTGGGTGGATGTTCTTCTGTAAGTCAGATTCTGATGCTTTCCAATGATCTCTACTCCCACTGGGTGACCTGGCCGGAAATCAGGAAGACCTGAGTTCAAATCCAGCCTCAGACACTTCCTAGCTCTGTGACCCTGGGCAAGTCATTTAATTCGTTTGCCTCAGTTTTCTCATATGTAAAAAGGGGATAATAATATCACCTACCTCCTGGTTGTTGTAAGCATCAAATGAGATACTAATTGGAAAACATTTAGCATGTACCTGCCACATAGTAAGCACGATATAAATGTTAGCCACTATTACTATAATTTTTAACGTTCAAGTGCATAGGAACTGCTCTAACGAGCTCATATTTATGCTCAGAGAAAAGTTCTGGGTGAATAAGCTTTAAAAATAAAATAAAGTAAACTGAAGCTTGGAACACACAAGCAAGTCCCAAGCTGTTCTTGAAAATGTCATCATAGAAAAGCTGTGGCAGATACACTATTTTTTTGTTAGTGTAATTTTATTTTCTTTTTTAAATTTTATTTATTTTATTCTAAATTTAAGAAATGAAGCATTTCTGCAACATAGTGAATAGAAAAAGATGATTGTATATGAAACTGCAGATCAGTTATGTACAACTTGCTATTCCTTTTAAATATATAACGTAGTTATCATGGAACTTTTTCTTTTTTCTTCCCTTTTCTTCCCCCTCCCCCCCGCCCTAAAGATGACTACCATTAGACACAAATATGTATATAAAATATAATATATATATTTATCATATGCATATATATAATATATGTAATATATATTATATATGTAACATCATTCTATACATATTTCTAATTGTCAGCTCTTTCTCTGGATGCAGATAGCATCTTCTTTCATAGGTCCTTTGTAATTAATTTGGGTATTTATAATAGCCCAAATGACTTACTCACTCAAAGTTGTTCTTAAAACAATATTGCTGTTACTGTGTACAACGTTCTCTTGCTTCTGCTCATTTCACCCTTCATTATTTCGTGCTAGTCTAGGCACGTTTTCCCAAGTTCATCAAGCTCATCATTTCTTATAGCACAGTTGTATTCCATCACAATCGTATACCACAACCTGTTCAGCCATTCCCCAGGTGACAAACATCTCTTCAAGTTTTAGTTCTTTGCCGCCACAAAGAGAGTTGCTATAAACACTGCTTATTCTTAAAAACAATAGACTTTGTGAAATCTTTGCCAGTCAGAAGGTTCATGCTTTCTATGCTTCTGTATATTTTCTCTACGTTCAAGAGACCGTGGTATAATGCTGAGAGCCCTGGTGCTGGACTTTAGAAAACGTGGCTATGAGTGCTCTAGGTGACCCTAAGCAAGTAAATCACTTAACTGCTTTGGGCCTTGGCTTCTTCTCCTCTACAATGATAACAATTCTGATGTTACCTAATTCATGTGGTACCAAATGAAACAGCAGATTTTTGAAGCACTTTATAACTATGAAACATAATATAATGCTATGGTTCTAGTTATGATATCAACTTCATTTTCTTTTACCAAATGCTTTTTTTTATTATAATATAACAATTGAGGCATATATGAACAACTTCTGGAACTTGTCATACTGTTTCACTATTCCTTTCATATGTGTGTAAATTTGTTATCTATTTTTGTGTCTATTTATCTATCATCTTTCTATTATCTATCTTCTTGTCTGTCTGTCTATCTATCTATCTATCTATCTATCTATCTATCTATCTATCTATCACCAGTGTTAAGCTCAGTGCCCTGGAA